TATTTGGACGATAAGAAGGTAGAATTGCCCTCCATTGAGAGCGTAGTGATACTTAACATTCCATCTTGGGCGGCTGGTGTCGATCTATGGAAAATGGGAGCAGAAGGTTAATATAATCGATATAGACAAATATCTAATAATATAATAAAATTATTAATAATAATACTATTATATACGTTATTTAACAGACGAGGAGAGTTCAGGAGTACAAAGTATTAATGACGGCAAGCTGGAAGTAGTGGCTCTTTATTCTTCATTCCACATGGCTCAGCTGCAAGTGGGTCTCTCGAAACCCTATAGGGTCGGTCAAGCTAGTACGGTGAAGGTATCTTTAAAAGTTGTAGCAATTTCAAAAATCTTCTCGCACCTGCACAATTATATATATTATGAATATTTGTCATTCAGATAAAATTATTGCGATCATGCGCCATGCAAGTGGACGGTGAGCCTTGGTACCAACATACTTGCGAGTTCAACATAACATACTGCAATCAGGCATCTATGTTGATGAGCAATGATTTTTGAGTACGTGTGATTACACTAAAAATTTGCACAAAAGCATTTATTTATATATTACTGTTCGATTATCAGTGTATGTATTCGCTAGAGCCGGTTCTAATTTACCTATTTGACGATGGTGATTAAAATATGATATTGTGAAATATTGTGGAGATGAACAAATCTAGTCAATGTTATTGCAAGAAAATATATGTAAATGTAAATGTGTGTTATATCTTTTATGGATTATAAATATTTCGTAATTCTATTTATTGATGCAGCATTTATAATAAAAATATATGAACAATAAAATAATATATATATATATAAAGAGAGAATAAAGATATTTTGATGTTTATTAAAAATGTCTTTTTAATATTCTTTTAAGAAATGTTTAATTTACCTTTTTGTCATCTTCTTTACATTCTTCACATTTATATCAAATTAATGATGTTCTATTTTTATCAATGGCGCGAAATTGGCAACTAATCTCGATTTAGAAATGTATGTGTAAAACTTTAATAAAAAATATTTATTTTATTCATATAATTGAATATAATTCTTGATTTAAAATTTATAATAATCTGAGAAAACGATATAAACAGAAGATATCGAAAATTTTTGTTTTCAACGATGTAAAACGAGAGAATAACAGAGAATTAATTTTATTAAATCATGACAGAACGACAGATACATTTTCTATTCATTTTAATAACTATTTGGATTTTGCACAAAACGGCTAGAATGATGAAGGACATTGATTAAAACATATTAAAAATTGGAAAATAGAATTAATAATATAACCAAAATCATTTTTGATTACATAAAATGATAAATGTTGAACAGAAATTTTAAATTCAAAATGCGACCGAAAAATTATTCGTGAGTATATATATATTAAAATCACGAAAAATAATTTATTAAAATACAATTATTATACATAATTATAATTCGT